AAGAAAAAGAAAAAATAGGTCACGCTTTCGATGGGAATTCTTTGACGAGAGAGGGGGGTGAGCGAGTCGATAACAATTCGCCCGGAGGGAGAAATCGAATCGGTTTGGCCCGATGCCAGGCGAGTGGCGCGCGCGCTATTGAAAATTTATCTTCGCATAATGTGTAACTGGATAATCTTTTTACTCTCATTTTCTCACCTTTGACCGCGTGGAAAAAAAAAACGAGCCGACTCTTCGTCCCCTCCTCGCTTTTCTTTTCTTTTATTCCTTTTTCTTTTTTCTTTTTCTCTCCGTTGCGTGTAAACATCCCATAAAGCGAATCGATATTGTATCTTGAAAACGTGGCGGTTGCCCACGGGTTGGGTTACAAAGGAGTAGAATTGCGAAAAGGGGAAATGCCTCACCTTCCGCCGTGGTGACGAGGACCATGCTTTCAGGATGCTTGTTGACCAATCGACGAATCAGGTCGATCTGCTCGAGCGCCAGTTGGACCGAGTCGAGGTGCTGGGAGGAACAGGGGACGTAAGCTGACCAAAACTGCAACAACCAACAAGGAACGTAGTCGAGGTGCATTTCTTTTTTTTCACTCTTTTTTTTTTTTTATAAATAAAAAATACGCTCAATAGTAACATCGCCTCTTTTCGAATCGAAACGAAAGTCGCCATTTTGCCTTTTATCGCTTTCGATCAATTCGATTTGCCACGATTAATCGTGCGAATTGGAGTTTCGACGACAGGGAAAGATTTAGTATATCCGTAAAGAGATGGTAATTTCTCTCGTTTCGATTCGTTATCGGATAAAAAAGTTTGGAAATAATTAAAAAGAGGTATTACGAAACCGTGGTACAGGCAGGACGCCGCTTTGAATTTTAAATAGGTGGATATCGGGAGCCATAAATAAGAGAGTATTTATCCTACTGGCTCGCAATGTATATACACCGGCTAAGAATATATTCTACTTGGAGTGAATTAAACCGATGTATCAGATCCCGAGGATTAAACGCGATATTTCATTCGAGCCGATAAGAGGGGTGAACGTGAGCTCGCATAAAAACTACTTTTGTACGCCGCTCGATCGTTGTTACGCCGTCAAACGGGACCGAATCGTAATACTTACCATCCCTAGACTAGATTCTTCCATTTCTCTCGATAACTCCGCCGAATAACCCCCCTCTTTCGTGAAAAGAAATCTCAGAAAATCTCAGAATTCGATTCGCGATCGTTTGCTAAAAAAAAGTTTTACTGAATTCGTTTTTTTATTTATTTTTTTTTTCTACCTTTATTTTATACGCCATCGCGCAATATTTTTATTTAAAATAAAAAACGCGTGCGTACATACATTAGATACGCAGACAAATTTCGTTTTTTTTAACTGGACGAAACGCGGGTTCGGAGCGTCGTGGTGTTGTCGTAAATCAACGGATGACGCTTTCCAACCCCTCGTTTTCCTCCCTCCCTCTTTTATTATCCTTCTTTCTTTCCCTTCTTCCTCCGTCAAACGGTTTTAACGCGTGACGCGACACCTTGCTCCGTTTCCGCGACTTCATTACCCGTCCAGAAGGGATTTTTGCAATTTTCTCTTTCTCGTTGTCACGAGTTACATAAACACCGCCTCTCCTGGAGCTAATTGCGAAACGACAATAATTTAAATCGCCGCGGCGGAGATTATACACGGTTGGAGGGTTGGGTCGAGGGCAAAAGAGGTTTCCGCGAAACGAAACCGCGCTCTCGCAAACTTTTTGATTTCTCGTTAATTCGCAATTAATTCCTTCCTCCAACGGCCTGTTATCAAACAATTTCACCCTCGACGAGAATTTATTCTTAATTAACGACTCGTCGCTACTCGCGAAAGAAAGAAAGAAGAAGAAAAAAAAAATTAAATTGCATCTCGAAATACAAGCGTATAACGCCGTATACCGTGTTTTATACTCGAACGCGATCGTCGGCTTTTTGATCCGTGTTCCGCGATAGCGAATCGAGCGACGATTAAACGCACGGAAACGACCGGGGAATTGTTTGCTTGAAAAAAACTTTGTTCCAATGTCTCGTTAGCATCCAGCTCGCCTCGAATTTTAGGTCGGATATTTTATATAAAATCGTGTGTTTGTTCGTTGTGTACAGCGATACGATTTTTTCCTTTTTTTCCCTCTTCCTTTTCCCTCTCCCCTCCTCCAAACGTTGACGTTTCGCGCAAAATCGGAGACGGGTTAGTTTTAGGTCAGACGTTCCGTAAAAATATTCACCCTCCCTCCCCCGTCGACGACGGGTATAATCGGCCGGTGTTGTCCCACTTTAAAGACGATGCTCGC